AACAATATGGTATAATTCATTAGACATCTTGTGCCCACACCCCTCAGCAAAATGGGGTGGCTAAGAGGAAGAACCGACATCTACTTGAAATAGGTAGGTCTCTTCTTCATCATATGAATGTTCCTAAACGGTTCTGGAGTGATGCAGTACTTACAGCTTGTTTTCTTATTAATCACATGCCCACATTCATTCTTGATGGTCCTTCTCCGTTCTCTACCTTATTTCCCATTTTGTCTCCATATCCCCTGACTCACAAGATCTTCGGGTGTGTGTGGTTTGTCCAGAATCTTGGTCCTGGTTTAGACAAGTTGGATGCTCGCTCCATTAAATGCATATTCCTTGGCTACTCTACGACTCAGAAAGGATATAAATGCTACAATCCTATTACTCGAAAATCCTTTGTTTGTCCTAATGTTACATTTTTTGAATTGGTGCCATGTTTCTCGGGTTCTGATATCTCTCATTCACCTATAGAGGTTCCTTTTCCTCTTCCAGTTGATACTTCCCTTCCGGTGGTTTCCATTATGCCAAAGTCTCCAACTTTCCCAATGTAGGAGTGTATTGAAAAATCACCAATTCGTCAAGTGTATACAGAGACCAACACCTCCACCATCTTTTACTCTAGTGGCAGATCCAACTCCTTCCACAACCAGATTGCCTTCTGATCTTGACCTTCCTATTGCATTGTGGAAAGGTAAACGTATTTGCACGCTACATCCCATATCCAATTATGTTTCTGTATCTAACATTTCTGCTTTCCATCGCAAGTTTATCACCCTGTTGTCCTTTGTATCCATACCTAAAGATGTTCAGGAGGCTCTTACCTCTCTAGGGTGGCAAAAAGCTATGGAAGAGGAACTCTTTGCTCTTCATCACAATCATACATGGGAACTCACCAATCTTCCCCCAGGTAAGCATGTTGTTGGTTGTAAATGGGTGTATGCTGTTAAGTATCTACTAGATGGGAGAGTGGAACGTCTGAAAGCCTATTTAGTTGCAAAAGGGTACTCTCAACTTTATTGTGTAGACTATGTCGAAACCTTTTCTCTAGTTGCAAAGATTGGTTCAGTACATGTGTTGATTTCTATAGCTGTCATGCATGATTGGCCTCTATTTCATTTTGATATTAAAAATGCCTTTCTCCATATGATCTCCTGGAGGAAGTGTACAAGGAGCAATCACCTAGGTTTGTTGCTCAGGAGGAGGATGGTAAGGTGTGTAAACTCAAAAAGGTGATTTATAGACTCAAACAGTCTCCCCGTGCTTGGTTTGGCAAATTTAGTGAAGTAGTGAAGGAGTTTGGGATGAGACAATGCCAGGTTGACCATTCAATATTTAGCTATGACTCTGTGGCCGGGAAGATTGTTGTACAAGAGAAAGGGAGAGAGGAGAGGAGAGACGAGAGGACTGAGAGCCCAAAAGAATACTGCAGGCGGGCAATATGTTATTATTTATACTAGGGCGACCGTACAATTTAAAAATAAGAAAGAAATTACAAAAGTACCCCTATTGTACCATACATATATAAAAATAACATCTGTTAACAAAGATCTTGTTAGTAGTTTATGTGGATGACATAATCATAACTGGCAGTGATAGAGTTGGGATTGATAGATTGAAGACTTTCCTTTAAAATCACTTTTAGACAAAAGATCTTGGAAAGTTAAAGTATTTCCTAGGTATAGAAGTTGTTAGATCAAAGCAAGGCATAAACCTTTGTAAGCGGAAATTTGTCATCGACCTATTGGAAGAAACAGGGTTAGTAGGTGTTAAACCAGCTAAAACTCCCCATGGAATTGAATGTGAAGTTGGGAAATGACATAGGTGAGTTGTTTGATAATCCTAGAAAGTATAGAAGGCTAGTGGGAAAACTGAATTATCTAACTATTACTAGGCCTGATATCTCATTTGCTATTAGTGTGGTAAACCAGTTTATGCAGAGTCATCGAGTACCTCACTGGGATGTAGTTCTTAGGATTGTGCAGTATTTGAAGGGAGCTCCAGGTTGTGGATTATTGTATAAACCAGGAGGTGATCTTGAAATAGTTGGATACACTGACGCAAACTGGGCTGACTCTATATCAGTTAGAAGATCTACTACATGTTATTGCACCTCTTTTGGAGGAAACCTTGTGATATGGAAGAACAAGAAGCAGACTGTAGTAGTAAGGAACAGTGCAAAAGCAGAATACAGGGCCATGACACACACTGCATGTGAATTAGTGTGGTTGAAAAATTTATTGCAAGAAATCGGGTTCTCAATAAACAAACCCATGAAGCTATACTGTGATAACCAGATTGCAATTCACATCTCATCCAATCTAGTGTTTCACGAGAGAACTAAGCACATAGAGGTAGATTGCCATTTTGTAAGGGAAAAAGTCATCAATGGTGTGATAAGAACAGAGCATGTGAGAACTGGTGATCAATGGACAGATCTGTTCACAAAAGGGTTAAGTTCGGGAAGAGTGAGTTATATATGTAACAAGTTGGGATTATATGATATATACTCTCCAGCTTGAGAGGGAGTGTTAGAGTCAACTAAACAGGGGTAATTTAGTCTTTGTATGTCTCTTACATAGACAGGGGCATTTCGGTCTCTCTCTCTTCCTTGTTCTCAGTTCGGCTGAATACAAACACTTTTCATTAGGACTGTGCATTCGATTTGTTTGGTTAAAAACCAAACCGAACAAACCGAATTTTATAAAACCGATCTACTATATTGCAAAACCAAACCGAAACCGAACTTCACCTAAACTGATCAAATTGAACTGGAATTTTTTTCGGTTATTTCGGTTGATTCGATTAGAACCGAATTTTTGCCATTCCTGGACTGTAACTTTTCCTGCACCAAGTTTTTGGATCTCCTACGCTTTTCTTGCAGTTCCATTCAATGATTTTTTTTTAAGATAAAAGCATTCTAAGCCTTCTATCTCCAGTTCTCTGGTTCTCCCATAGCTGAAATATACCAATAGTTGTGCAAAAAATGAGGTAATTACATTCCATTTCAGCCCTTTGTTAAATAAACAAAAAATGGGTAGAAACAGAAATTGTTGGCCACCCAATTCCTAAATCCTACTCTGAACTGAGTAATTGAACTTTCCAACTCCACTATGATACTAACACAGGCTTAAGAAGTTCCCTAACCTTGTCTTCAACTTTACGCTCTGAAGTCACCGTTGCTGCCTTGCTAGTTGCCAGAGTATCAGCTGCCGCTGCCGCTGGTGAGTGAGACTGTGAGAGTGACTGAGTGGTGCGGCTGCCGTTGGTGCCAGACCGAACTCCGTAGAGAAGAGAAGACGAAGAGACTCAGAAGTCACTAAGTCAGAGACTTAGAAACGAAGAGAAGAGTAGAGAAGATGAACTCTGAAGAAGTGAAGACTAAAGAGTAGAAGACGCAGTGGCGAGTGGGCAAAACCGCAGAGGGAACTGGGAAGGCCGAAGGGAGACAGAGACTGGAGAGTGTTTTGTGTTTTGGGAAGGCTGAAGGCGAAGGAGAACTGCCGAACTGGGAAGGCCGAAGGCGCAGACTCGAGGGTTTTGTCACTTTGTGTTTTGGTCTAATGAGCTATATAATTACAAATTTACCCTTACTAGTTCGGTTATTTCGATTAACCGAACCTCTAAATATCAGAACCAAAACCGAAACGAAACCCGATTATACTAAAACTGAATCGAACCATTTAACCCGAAGTAATCGATCCGATCAAACCAAAACCGAAATTTCGGTTCAGTTATTGGGTTTCAACCGAACTATGCTCACCCCTACTTTTCATAGCACTTGGGACTCTTTTTCCACCCTTGCGAATGAATGGCCTGGTAGACAATGAGTGTGGCGTTTGCTTCTTCCTTGAGGAAGGAGCATACCAGAACTGCTACCGCGCATAGCACCAATATTGCCCTCATCATGGTCAAGGCTCTTGCAAATGATGATCAATGTAAGTATGTCCTACCAGGAGGCAAATTAAAAGCTTCTTATTTGATCACCCACAAATGAGTTTTGGTATTCAAGGGAGGAATTCGGAATTCCTATCTAGCTAGCTATTAGAATTTAGAAGACGGGCCTCGCTTGCAGCTTTAGGAGGTGGCAAAGAGGGTGTCGGAGACAGACGAACGTAATCCGTTCTGGCACCTGCGCCAATGTATTGTTAAAGGCCACACCAACACACCCAGGAGACCAACCAGCACAACAAACAGGAAGGAGAAGCCACCAGCATGACTTTTGCTAATTTCTTTTCTCATAAACTCGAATATCAAGTTCAAACAAAACAAAGGGTTGATCGAGTTGCAAATGGGTCGCATTAAATAAGAAACAATTCAACGTTTTACACAAAAGGAGCAGTTTGTGAAGAAGAAGAAGAAGAAGAAGAGGAAGAGGAGGATGCCGAGAATGTACTGCCAGAGCTGTCGCTGCCGATGGCTTCCGAATGGGTAGGGTTCGATGGAGGAGAAATAGAAAATGAGAGGGAGGATTCAAATAGAGAGAAGTTTTAATCAGCTTTTTGTCATTTTGCAATCCGATTCAACTGCACACTGCAGTTAATGGCCAAAGGTTTCGCCCAGACGAAGACGATGTGGTCGTTTCTCATTGATGGGTTCATGCGTTCTGTGAGTGGAGGAGAAATAGAAAATGGGAGGGAAGGAGGGTTTGAACAGAGAAGTTTTAATCAGCTTTTTGTCATTTTGCAATCCAGTTCAACTTCAACCATACACTACACACTACAGTCAGTGGCCAAAGGCCCGTTAACGTTAGCTTGACGTGGTTGTCTCTCATTGGTGGGTTCATGCGTTCCGAACGCGGACTCAACTAGTACCCTGTGCAAGGTTTAAAGAAAACTGTTCTGGTGTTGCAGGATAAACCCCAAGAAATTTTAATGAGCAATTAGTTTTAGTATGCTGATATGATCTGATGCCCAAACGGGTATATAGGAGATTAAATCCTAGGATGCAGATCTGTTCTTCGACAATCCAAAAGACCCACTGAATATGAGATTCGACCATCAAATATAAGCGTGGTAAAGCTCTGCAATTACATATTGTAGGAATCATGTTACACAGTTGCAATACAAAAGCAATATTACAGCCATTGATCTTGATAACAAGATCAAATAAAAGAGATGCCTGTACATGTCCTTGAACAGTGACTCAGCTCATCAAAGATGGCTACAATAATTCCCTAGTATGAGAACCAAGACTGAATAATTTCTGTCCAAAAGAGAAGAGAATAAAACAAGAAAAGAAAACGTGGTTACTAATCCAGCCTTGCTCAGCATGAACCAAGAGGCATTTGTGATGTTTGTTGTATACTGGAATCCCTATTACATGTACCTTCCATTTTGCCAAGATTGCTCTGAGATCCAACTGGGCAAACTACTTAAATACCAAAATCTTGGGATGACCACTTTCCATTGTCTTCACCTTTACTACAACCCGGCATATTGCAGATTTTTTTCAGTGACAGTTGGGCAGAGCTAAGAAGGTACTCAGGACTAAAATGCTCTTGCGATGACCCCTTAGCTTGGCAATACTCATTGGTTGAATCATCTTCGATTTTTCCACTGGCACCCCCATGACATGCTGGAGGGATAACATTTGGCATGCCAACTTTCTGAAGCAAATTTTTGTCGCCATCGCCTTCACTTTTGAAAGTCGACTCCTCAGTTCCAGAATTTTCTTCATCCCTGTTACCAGAGCAGCGGTTGCTGACGATGCCATTTTTACAAGGAGATACATTACTGAAGGATGGCCTCACTAGTTTTCTCCTCTTATGCTGCTTAACTGGAACATCCATGCTCTCTGCACAATCAACACACTTGGCCTGAGTTTCATCAAGTGTCTTCCGCATTTCACTACGACGTTTGAAATTCACAAGGGGGATCTCTACATAAATTTTGTCATCACCCCCAGTCTGTTCATCAAGTTGAACAGCATCAATTCTCTTCATCTTTGTTATTATTTCCTTGTTTTCATCATCATGCTGTCTGATAGCTTGTTTAATTTTTCTTGCATTTTTCCTCCAGCATTTCCGATTCTTGTGCAATGTTTCCATAAGTTCATTAACTGATGTATTCTCAACAGACAGGCGGGAAAATACACTGGCTCTCTTATTCTGGGTGTCAGACTGGATAGAAGTATGGTAATGATTATCATAGATGTCTGCATAAAAGTCCATTGTTTGAGATTGCAGAGCAGTTTTTTGCAGAAGACGTGGCTGACAATCATTAGGCAATGGAATGGGGGCAGTTGAAGCTTCTCGGGTTGAATGATAACCGCAGTCTCTTACATAGGTTGGAGTTAGATCCTTGTCTGAATTTAATTCAAAGGATGGAGTATTCATATTCTCCCTTGACAAACCCATGGTAGTTACAGAGGGCTCATAGGAGGATAAGCCTCTGTATTGCTCAAGACCACTTAATGTCATAGGACTGGTTTTGATAAAATCAGCAACACTGGTGTGCTCATAATGACAAGGAGAAAGAGGTAATGGAATGTAGCCATCAGAATCTATTGTGGCATTTAGGTTATCTTCATAGGATCTAATCTTTTTTCTGGATAAAGGGAAGAGACTAATGGGAGGAGCTTCTGGATTACAAGGATAATTAGTGCAGACAGGTTGGACTGCATCCCCATGAGATGTTGAATGTTGTTCCATTGAACTGGGTAATGTAGACAAATGTTTAGTTTGAACTATATAATTGTTTCTGTCTACAATATGTTTGTTAAAACAGCCAGAAAGAAGGTTAGGCCCATGTAAATCAGGAAACCTTGTCGAGTTCACAGGCTCAATACCACCAACTGTGTTAAGTTCATTTTCTACACTACCAGTTGTTACAAATCTGCCATTCTCAGTTACTGTTACTCTACCCAAACCAGACTTGTTGACCTTACTTCCTATGGAGAGAATCCGAGGCCGTTGGACTTCAATTTTTTTGGTATTGAATAACCACAAAAGCTTGTGAACCTACATATTTAAAACAAAAATAAATAAATAAATAACTCAATTTCATCTGTGCTACTCCATCAATATAAGATTCTACAATTTGACAGGACATGAGTAAACCTGATCTTGAGAAAGACCAAAGTTAAACTTGTATGCTTCATAGTAGTTATCTTTGATGGCATCACGGAACTCATGTTCTGACAGTGGGTTACATTTCCAGATAGTAGTGAAATGAATCTGCACAAGAATAGCATGCAGAAAAATGCCAAATCCATTGAAATATTGAATTGCCATCATATGATAGAAGATTCCCAATGCATTTCAAGAAGGAAGAAATCAAAAAAATGAGGAAAAACAATAACACACCTACGTACCTGAGCAGAGAATGGCTTTCCTGATGAACGGAATGCATGTGGAGCAATGTTCATAGAACCATCTGAACAAGCCTCAAACACCCCATACAGTTTCCTCTTCTCATATTCAAAGAGAAATAATAACATTCCAGCCTTAACTTGCTTCACAAAGTCAGCTCGATTAAAAGGAAGTCCAAAAAGCTTCTGCTTAAAACATTCTTTCTTTGTAGCACGGTTGGACATGAAGATTGCACCGTACTCAGGAACAATTCCAGAAACACTGTTCTCTTTATGAAATTCCATGGATGTCCTTGTGAAGAATCTATCAAATTCAATAATGACAATGACAGCTAGGACATATAAAGGTGCCTAGGATGCAGTAATATGTTTTGGAAGGCAAACAGAGCAGCTGCACTCCAATCCACCAGAAANAGGTACTTGGTTACATCTGTATGACCATCACTTCAAAGAAAAAATGTCCATGCATCATCATACCACAATTCAATTATAACCCCCCCCCCCAAAAAAAGGAAAAAATAATGATAAAAGGAAAAAGGGAAAATAAAACAACAAACACAGATATGCCTTCATTCACTCCCAGGTATCACAATGTGACAAAAAGTACCATGGTGTGATGTGCCTTCGTTTACCCTAAGAGCGTCCATGCCAATATGATATGCCATGGGAATTAGTAGGGGATGTGTGTTGGACACACCAAAGCCATACACCCAACTTGTACAGTTGCAAGTTATAGACATCCAATATTCATGTCCAGAATATGTTATCATCCCATGTTCCTTCAACCTTATACATAATTGTTTAGTTTATTGTATATACATTAATTGATGTATGTAATTATGTATGTATATTTGTTTTGTGTGTTTGAATATACAAGATCTATGTTAGTCAATGCAGCTTTCCTGAATACTAATACTGATAATGGAATGCATTTCAGTCATTAAATATACGTTGCTTTCTTGATAGGGGATCATATATTTTATTGTTCAATGTACGATATGCCCATTTACCTGTATCTTGCAGGTGGACTAATCTTTGACAAGCTTCCGTATCCTGAGATTTCAGCGTCACATAGATCTAACACTACCTGCTTCAGACACCCAACCCAACTGTAGTGAAGCAGTAGTTAATTCAAAGCACAGAGCATGGTGCAATTGTAAAAATAATATGGAAATGTATAGAAGTATAAATATTGTAAAAATTGCATGAAAATGAAAAATGCTTTATTGGTAGTTAAAGAAGCAAATCGTCATAAACAATGCCAGATACAACCAAGCTCAGGAAAGAGAACACTGTGATAAAACCAATTGTCTGCCTTTCTCTTTCTATTAGCAAGAACATAATAGTACATTAACAAATTATTAAAAACAGCAAAAAAAAAAGAAAACAATTTCAAAAGTTCAGTAAGGATGCCATCTGATCTTTGGGCCAATTGAATGAGGTGTCCATTCTTGTTGCAGATCTAGCCTCCCTGAGAAGATATCATAGGGACCAATGGTCAGTATCTGCATCAACTCACCCCTTGTGAATTCCCCTAAGCTTCTAATTTGTTGTAACCCAGGAAAATACTCAACCTCACCCACTGAAGCAAATACAATAAAAGTTCAGATTGTATGGAATCTTCAGTGCCTATAGGTCCAAAATACACCCTAAATACATCTTCCACATGGTTTTTAGAAGCACCGATAACTCCTGAAGGACCCTCAAGTAAAATCAATTGTTTATCATCAAATTACATTCATGATAAAAAATATGAGAGTAGCAACAACTTTCTGGATACCGACCAAAAGCCTCATTAAATGGACCTCTCCTTTAAACCCAACACAATAAAAATATATTAGATTAGATCGTTGTCCTCTATGAGACGATCTCTCCTTCAAAATCTTAGGTCCATGGTCCCATTGGGACAACTAAAATATTATTGCATAATGCATACATAATAAGTGATGCATATTACTTTAATAATTTGTTTTCTCCCATCCATGTGTTGCACTTTCTACAATAGTTAACAAGCTTTTGACTAAAAAAGAATAACTTTAAGATCCAACATTTCTTTGCAATGAGCATGAATTGTCCAAAACTTTTAATTTTTCAATGCATATTTCCATTTATTTGTCTAAAAAGGAAGTAATAAAAGCAATTATCAGTTGCTAACAACTTAACACCCTTTCTTGTCAAGGATTTACATAAATGTAAAGTAAACTTAAAAAGCAAGTCATACTTATCAAGGAGAAGGAAAAGGCAGTAAATTTAAATAACAATGCCAAATATGTACATATTTGTAAAGTAAGTTCCTGCAGATGCACGATTTTCTTTTTCTTCTCTTTTGTGAAAAGCACATTATGTAAAAGTAGCGCTAAAAAAGCAATACTGTCCTGTAAACATGCAAAAAGCAGCAAGAATTGTTTACAGTTGGAAGTTGGAAATAATGATATATCTACATTGTAGATGAATTCAAACTTATCAAACAGCTTGAGCCAATCACCCATTTAACCCCAGCTGGCATGTTAAAGAAGCAAGGAGCGGCAAGGTTCAAGTTCCTTAAACACCAAAAATTGCAATATATATATAGTTAAGTGTTGAAGACTGCTGTAGCTATACCATTCAACAATAAATGATTAATAGATAAAAGTTATGCTTACATTTCTTTCTTTTTTTGACAAGAATGTTATGCTTACAATGAATAGATCAAATAAATTGACCTCAACCTCTAAGATTGTACATTTCTATTTCAGTGAACCTTTTGGACCCTACTGGGATGCAATATGTCAGAGAATTCACTGATGAAAAAGAATGCACAAGTATGCATGCACCAGTAAGTCAAGCAAAAGATACAGGCATAATTCTAGTGCACATGTACAACACGTATATGAACACTTGATCCATTCAAAATGGATAGTTCTGTCTTTTTGTATTTCAGCAAAGAATTTGAAAAACAGAAATTAAAGGATAATTTTGAAACAAAAGTTCCACAAGTACATATATAAACGAACAGGCTTACAAACACAGATACACAGACACACATATAGCTGGATGGATGGATGGATCAATGGGTTGCCTAAAGGTAGATACATGCACATAAGTAAACATACAAGCTTACGTGTCTGTATTTTATCATTTTTATTAGAACCAACATTATTAATACTCAACTCAGCCTTAATCCGAACTATATGAGGTTGGCCCTATCCTGCAGGTCCTGCTGTTTTGCTCTATCCAAATCCATGTTTTCTGTCAAATTATTAGCCCCAATCATCATTATAAATATACCATAGTCATTGTGTTTACAATGACCACCCAATTTATATTCCTTCTCTCTCTCTCATTCTCTCTTGTTGTTTCTCGGTTTCATAGTTTGGTTTAGTCAAACCAGTGATTTAAATGTGACAAACACAACCAAAGCACAACGAGTTCCTAAAGCCAATGATGCATAACAAGGCATGTACATGAATGAAGCCAGACACTACTTTAAGAAAAACTTAATAGCAAGGAAAAAAAAATCTAATGTCTTGAAGAAATAAATATTTCAAAAAGTCTATCAGCTTAATTGTAACATTATCATGGAATAAACTATTTGAGGTCTAAAAGGCATAGCCACAACCTAGTATACAGTGATTTACATATTCAAAACATAGCAAAAGGCCAGGTAAAGCACCCTTGGGTTCAACTGAGGCCCCAACGGTCAAACCCATGATAAAGTTATCTTTAAATTCTTTTAAGTTCCGCAACCTGAGAATTAAAATTGTCTTAGAGTTCATTCATATGCAGTCATCTTGCCTAGTTTCTGTGCCTGCACCATAAAATATGCTAGCTAAATCAATGCTAAAGTTATGTCCTTTTCTCAAATAAACTAATATTATCATTAATCAATATCTTCCATTTGAGATGACACATTGCATCTCAAAATCACCCTACAGGATAATTACCCAATGTTGGTCCCACTATAACCTAACTTTTGGCATTTTCTTGCATAAAGTGTTTGATTTCAGACATGAACCAGTACTCACACTTGTCAGCCCAATATCTTATCATTGTACCAATCCCAAAAAAGGTCCCTAAACCCACATCAATCCCCAAAAAATGATGAGAAAGAGAATAAGGTAAAGATCCAGCTTTTCTCATAAAATCACTTTGTTTAACCCCATCTCTCATCCTAAGAATGATCCAACCAATTAGCCACACTTGGCTTACAAAATTGTTACATATCACCAAAAGATGACAACTTGGCCAATCCTAAACTCAAGCATAGTCCAATGGCTAAACTTTTTTTTCTTTCCATGTTATGTCTCTGTAAGTTCTAAGAAGACATGGGCAGGGAGTTGGGTGGTGGACCAAAGGTTAGGTTAGGGAGCATCTATCTTATTTTGTCAACCTAGTGCCTTTTTGGTCCACCCGTTAAGACAATTCACCAATCTATCAACTTAAGAAGTCCTTGCATGGCCTATGATCCTGCCCTGTTTAATTTTCACAGGCTTTTTATCAATGTATAATTTTCAAGGGATTAGTAATCCACTTCCAAGCAGCACATTACTTCTTTTGGGTGGCATCTCACAGATTCAGACCTAGGGCTGTTCCCTGAACACATTACAGCTTAACACAAATCAGATAATTGGTGAGAGTCAGAGAGCTCATATCCCAAAACAAAAGGGTCAGAAAGAAGCTAATACAACAAAGCCAAAGAACAATGTCATACAAAAAAATCAACAATACAGAGAAATCATTAAAAACAATATATATATATATAATATATATATAATGTCCATATAATATTGTAAACTAATACAAAGTAGAGTTTCGTATTTCAGTACACAGATGATGAATGTAAGCAGCCTCTATTGATACTTAATATAATTAACACTTTCTGCCTGATATAAAATTTTCTCATAAAAAATCTATTCGTACCCTTACCCATGTGATATAATGTGAAAATCCCATATCATTAAAGATTCAAAGAAAGCGCACGAAACACTATCAACAACAATAGAGATAGATGGAGAGGATTAGAATTAAAACCATGGAATCAAAAGCGAAAACAAAACCCGTAAAAGAAACAGCAGGCAAACGAAGATCAAAACCTAAAGAGACATACATAGGAAACATATAGCCCCGTAACCCCGTTCCCTTCGACAACCGCCATTCGATAACAAGAACGGATGCAGAACAAAACACAGAAAAAAAGAAAAATAACAGGAGACCCATGAAGCATAGACAAACAACCATCATCAATCATTAAGTGGGAAACGAAGCAGATTCCGCATCTAAACGAAAACGATGGGGAAAAAATCAATAGAAAGATCCAATATTACCCGCAGAAGCCGGTTCTATGATTCGAAGCCAATTTGTGTACAGTGTGTGGTTCCACCACACTCGCTGGCGATTATTTGAGAGAACGAGAAAGGAACTGTAAAACGAAACGTCTCTTTTAAGCATGAAATGCGGTTTCCAGAGTTTCTATGGGTTTTATATGCGAAGGGTGATGGCTCTGCAAATCTGCAGTGATATGGGAACGGCGGGTGTGGAGGACGTGCCAACGTGGCAGGGTCGGTAGTGCACTAGTTTGGTTCCTTCGGTAGTCGGTACTCGATATCCGAAATTACTAAAATAACCTTACCATTTGCCTTAGAAAAATTAGGAGAGGAGAGGATTTGTGACGCCCGCCCGAATTCCAGGCAGACGTATAACCCTACAAAAATCGTAAGCAGCCCCACGACCCCAAAACAAACTCCTCTTAACTCCTTTATGTGCGGTGCAATTGCATTTGCACCGACGCAAAAGAAGAAGAAGAATAGCAATCAAGAGCGTCTGCGTCATAGAAACAGTAATCGGGTTGGATTTGGGTCGGATCCAATGCACATGTTATTACAAACTTGGATCCAAATCCGATCCAAAATCCAATCGAAATTAGAGGTCTCATGTTGAATTCAGATCCTATGGCATTTTGAATTTGAATCAAATTGTCAAGTCTGTTTTGTTATTTTTAAAATAAAGGGAAAATACGAAGCGAAAAAAAAATAAAGGGAAAGTAATTACTTTTAATTTATATAAATATAAAAGAATGAAATTGTATATAGGGGTGATGCAAGGTGCCCAGCGGTTGCTTGATAAGGTTTTCGGCTCGTTGCAGTGGAGACTTGGGTTGAATCCTGCATGCATCAAGGTTTTTGTCCCTTTGGCTACACAAGCGATCGTGGACCATATGTGCAAGTAAATGATAAAACTATGTTGATATTGTATAATCAAGTTTATTTTTTATGACTAACATTAAAACCAAGACAAGTATCTGCTTTATAATGGTGTATGTATATATGTATGTATGTATGTAAGGATGAGGGTTGGTGGGATTGAAAATGATCATCCTTGTTTTCTTCTTAAACTCTGTCTCTCATTTTTCCTTACCTCTTCCTAACTCTCTCATCAACCCAAATACCATTATAGGTGAAAAATCCCCAAAGCATAAGCATCACGGTTTCCTTCTATGTTTAGATTTCTTTCCTCCCCTCTACCAAAACTAATGAACCAAGACTCTTCTCTTCTTTCCCTTCCATCACTGTTCTTCCCGTCCAAATTGAGCAATTACCCCTGATTTAGGATACATTCAATCGCTTGTTTTAGTGTTTTGGAGATACACTTCGTCCATAGACATCCTATTTGCTAATGATCATTTTTTCCACTGCTAACCATCGTTTTTTCTTCTGTTTTGAACATGAACAAAGTTCACAATTGGAATTCGTATCTATTGAAGATCCTGCGCCTAGGTTAAAAACCCTACATACATAAAGAACCCTTTTATATGTAAAACCCTCTTTAACCTAAAGAGGGGGACCATACCAACCGTTAGGTTAAAAACAATCTAATAGTTATAAAATAAGAAACAACCCCAACAGTATCAGTGAATTCTTAATTAGTACTTCTTCTTCCACTGTTTACACTTTACACAGATCCAACAGTTTCCCCCCCTGCTAATGATTGTTTTTTTTTTTTTATTTGTTTGGGTTTTGGAGAGTGATGCTTGCGCTGTTGCACAGTTTTTAGAGCACTTTGTTTCACGGTTTTGACCAAGTTAGTTTTCACATATCCTCTCCCATCATAGAGGAAAATGTGGCCGGTTTCATGTTGAAAGCCAAATTCTTGCTGGAATGACGGAAAGCCAAATTCTTGCTGGAATGCCGGCCTTTTAGTGCACCAGAACATGGGTTCACATCTACATTACTCCATCCCACATTTGACCCTAGACTGACCCAAGGCCAAACCTGATTGATCAATTGTTTATCAATGGTAAATTGATTATTAATGTCAAAATGATAATTAAAGATTTGAAATTTTCCCTCTTTTTTGGTAAATTGATTGTTCATCTTTGTGTGGTAAGATGCGTCTTAACCAAACAGTCTTTAAACTATTAAGATATTGATGCAAAAGTTTATAGTCTTTTGGCTGTCAAAACTTTTAAAAGATCTTTCAAAAAAAACTTGCCAAACGATCCCTTTGTATCACTCTTACTATAGCAAATTAATGAATTAAAAGTTGATAAATGATGGTTGGTTCATAGGTTACTGTAATAGAAATAAGAGTGAAAGAGATGATTGGGTCAGGTTTATATCATATCCGAAATCACCTGCACAAAATGATGGTGTCTTTGATAAATAGGATTTTTCTAATTTTGTTTCAAGTATGTAAATCGTCCTTTTCCTTCTTTGTATTGCTCGTATTGTCTTTATTAGTTGCTTGTTAATTAATGGCAAATGAAAAAAATTACTTTATTATTTATCACCACTAATTTTATTATTTTAAATTATATTAAACTTCATTCTCATTCTGAGTGCTTATTTTTATTGATTGGTGATACCCATCTACTTAGGAATTTAAAAGAAAAAAAATGAAATTTATGATACCCATAAATTGTATTAGTCCTTATTATCCTTAATTGTAACTTATTTGTATTAACTTTTATTACTTGTCTTATTTATAAAACATAATATTTTTGATACTACACTTTATATATGATATACATAATATTTTTGATATTTGAGAAAAGTTTATTAATTTTAAATAAAATTTTATTATTAAAATTCATTTATAAAATATAAGAAAAATCAAACTTAGTAGCAAGTGATATAAGTAATGCAAATTTATTAATGCAATTGATGTAAAGTTAATATTTATAAAATTATTTTTTTTTAACTTAAGTTTCTTTAAGAAATAATTAAAATGAATAAAATATTAATAGAATTGCATTTACCAATAAAATTAATAAAAATAAAAAAATTGATTTAAAATATATTTAATTTGAAATCTATTTAAATTCATTTAAATAGCTCAATACCAATATATTATGGTTTTAATGTTTTGAAGTTAATAAATTTTTAAAATTTTTAAATTAATGAGTAAAAATGTAACTAAGAACAAACGTAATTTAATTTTGTATCACCTTGTTTTAATTAAAAAATATCATAGCGCTCCCTTTGCTTCAATTTAATTTAATGAAGCTAGTGTATCACAATGTCCCATGCGATGCACAAGTAATTTTATTAACTTTAAATTTTTTATAAATATTAAATGCATTTATTTATTTTTATTTACATTAATTTATGATTCCTTCCATTGTTTTTTCTTAAGTTAAATGATGTAAGGTTTACTTCCCCTCTTAATCCCTTCTATCATTGTATTGGATAATAGGTTTTCACGTATTATCACAAAATTTAATGAGACTCCTTCAATAGACTAACAGAAATGGGTCCGGATGTACTAGACACGTTAGGTAAGCATAACGAGTGAGCACGTAATAGCTATGTAACACATGTCCTGATTAATATGCCTTTTATCCAAATGTTTTTGTTCCGTTAGATAAAAATTATCCATTATTTTATTATCTTTGTCAAAATAATTAAAAATAACCGAGAGGGTGGAAAATTTCTGTTTAACAGAACAAAAACATTTGGATAAAAGGCACATTAATTGGGACATGTGTCACATGGCTATTACGTGCTATTCATTGTGCTTACCTAACGTGCCTATTACATCCAGACCCAACAGAAACGTCATGTGCCTAGTACCCACCACTAATTTGGATCTGCTCCTTAGAATGCACCTCACACCAACTTCACACACACACACACACACACACACACACACACACACGTTTCAGCCATGCATTGGGGAGAACATCTCCCCATGAATACAAATTTACAATTTCGAAGATATTCCAAATGCATAGCTGAAACGTGTTGTGAGATTGATGTAAGATGCACTCTGTGAGGAACAGATCCAAACTCGCCCACCACCATTCCATTGGGTTCCACACCCAATTGAGGTGATTGGTTGTACTAGGTTGGCATGAGTGGCACAAGGAACGATGACAAAAACATCTAGATCATTAACTAGGAAGGCGACCTTGAAATTTTGAATTACCTTGGAGGAATGTAATGTAATGCTGTAAATGTTATTAGTTTATCCAATTTTCGAATCAAATTAAATTTGAACAAAATAACCCCAATTTAGTTTGTTAATTATGTTTATAGAATTATAGTCAAATAAAAATTTTTCTTTATTTTTGAGTACGGGTGTAATTGAATTGAGCTTTAATCGAATAATTTGGACTCGAATTTGCTTAAACTTGATTCAAAATTGATGTTAATCAAGTTTGAATATTAGGATAAGTTCAATTAGTTATTTGAATTCAAAGTTCAATTAATAAAATGTTTGACTCAAAAACTCCCAAGTCTGACTCAATTAATACACACATATTAATATATTTATAAAATATAATTAAAGATATATTAGCTTTTCAAGATTTCAAGCCAAACTTGAACTAATTGAATATTTAGTTGAGCTGAACCAAGACATGACGAAGTCTGGTTTAGCTCGGTTTGATTGCATCCTTAATGCCATAATTAAATAAAAAAATTATCCCCATAAGTCAATCAACTTCGTTCCATTTGGTTTCCTATAACTATTGAAGAAAATGTTATAGATAACGGAAAGTAGAGGAAATGAATTAAGGGTGTTCAAATCATGCCATTACTTTATTTTAGTTGATGAAGTGGTCAAAGATTTCATCCTAATAAAAGGCAGTTTAGGCAAGGATACCTACTCTCTCCTTTCATGCTCATTCTAATTATAGATTTGTTAAGTAGGATGATTAGTAGGGTAGTCAACTTGAACTTTGAAGTTTGAACTTTATTAATGGAGTACAACCACAAAATTAGCCTATAGTGGCAGAAATATTTGTTACTATGGCCCGGTTCATTTACAAATTTCTCACTTACATGAGTAAGTGCAGTAATTGTTTCTTGGGTAATATTTATCCGAATAGGTTCACTTACCCATGTTCTTTTGATTTCTAAATAATTAATATAATGATTTTTTTACTCGTAAAAATTTAATGTTAAAATAGATAAACTTGTACTATTATATGTTTTATAAACTTTTCTCCCAAGAGGAAAAATTACTTTTACCCACCTAAGAGATTTATAAATTTTGTAAAAGAAGTTCTCTTTACTGTGAGGTCTAGTGTTTATTGTCAAAAGAGCACTATAAAGTTGGTCAATAGAAAAGAGACCCATTGACCAACTTTTCCTCTCTTATATACCGGTAAACAAACAGGGTCTATAGTTCAAAAAACCACTACCCTAACTCTATAGTGGTGTAACATGATGGTTTAGTATCAGCTTTTGTAAGTTGTGCAATATCAGCTTTTCTATTATAAATAATTTTCAATGGTTGTTATAGATATGGTCTAGATATATCTACCACTAAAACAATTATTGGACATATAACAACAGATATATCTGCCATTATAAATAATTTCTTTAGTTACTAGTGGGACCCACGCGATGAACGGGAAATCCCCATTATGATGATAGAATGGATTAAAAAGGTAATGAAAATCTAATATAATTTCTCCAAAAAAATAGTGGAAGAAATCGTAAATTAACATAAGTCAACAATAATGTATTTTAAATTTCAAATTAATGTAAATCAGCATATATTGCTCTTGGAAAAATTAATGTATTTCAAATTCTTTTTTTTTTTTGTTATTTATGATTTGTATTTTTATTATTTACTTTTGGAAATTTATATTTCCAATTAAAGGTATAGCAACAGATATATTTGTTACTAAAAGTAATTATTGGACATATAACAGCAAATATATCTATTGCTATAAATAATTTCTTTGGTCACTAGCCAGGCCCCATGCGATAAATGGAAAAATCCCTAATATGATGATAGAATGGATTAAAAAGGAAGTGTAAATCTTACATAATTTCTCCCGGGAGAAATAGTGGAAGAAATCGTAAATTAATATAAGTCAACAATAATGTATTTTAAATTTCAAATTAATGTAAATTAGCGTATATTGCTCTTGAAAAAATAATATATTTCGAATTCATTTTATTTTCTATTATTTATTATTTAATTTTGGAAATTTATATTTAGTAATTATAATTTTTATTATTTATAGCTTAAAATAATATTTTTACTTTTTAGTACTTAAAATTACTTTTATTTACTAAATACAAAGTGCTTTTGGTAACTAATCCATGTGATGCATGGGAGAATCCGATGACGACAAAAGCATTGTTTTTAACCTACCATTGACTCAGACGATTAAACCATCATCAAGACATGATTTCGGGTCTGGTTCTCCCAAAACCCAAGGATTGATCAAAAGTTGTCTTACCTAGGTGGTTGGTTCGTTGACCCGTTTAGTCTAGTCATTGGGTCACATATTTCACACTAAATAAATATGCAAACTTCTAGAGGCCATAGCTTTGTATCCGATTGGGTTGATCTTATCAACTTAGGATAATTTTTCTGAGATCTATGCATTCCACGGAGCCAAGGGCACATGCTATGCTATTTTCACAAAAAATAAAACTCTTTTTTTGGCCTCAATTACAATTTTTAGCATTATTTATAAATAAAAAAATTAAAAATTAATTTGTCACGGTCTTACTTGTCTGACTCGAATGATCGGATTGGTGACTTGTGACTCAGAGGTAAAAATGGTTCAACCTTCGGGTTAATTTTTAAAACATTGGATAGAAGGGGTTAATTATTATGTCCTATTATTTATTATTTTGAAAAATGTTTTTAAGTTAATGTAAGACAAGAATAATGTATATCAAATTTCAAAATAATGTAAGTTAGAATATATTGCTTTTATAAAAAATAATGTATTTAAAATTCATATTAGTTTTGTTATTTATGATTTTTATTATGTATTTTTTACTATTTACAAAATTATATTTCATAATTATTATGTCCTATTTTTTATCATTTTGAAAATTATTATGCCCTACATAATAATTTTTATTATGTTTTACTATTTACAAAATGATCATTATTTTTTTACTTTTTTGAAAATTATTATGTCCTACATTCTCATTTAATCCGAGATTATTCATCATCGTCATCATCCATACCTTATCCCAACTATATGGAGTTGTCTATATGATCATAATGATCATTTCTTACTATTTCAATTCATGTCCTTTTTTGTATATTTTGAGCTCTTCTAGCCCCTTCAATGTGTAACAAATCATTTATTTTAATTAGAGTTATTGGTGATCTTCTATGCATATGACTAAACCATTTTAGCCTTCTCTCTCTCTCTCTCTCTCTCTCTCTCTCTCTCACATTTTATCACTTATTGGAGCCACTCTAGGCTTTTCTACAAATGACTTCATTCTTGATCTTATCTTTTCTAGTTTTTCCACTCATCCATATTAGGATTCACATTTTGGTCACACATATTCTAAACATGTTGTTTCTTGATTACTCAACACTTTGCTCCATACAACATACTTAGCCTTACAAATGTCTTTTTAGCATTTTCCTTTTAATTTAAGTGGTATTCTCCTATCACACAAAAATCCATATGCACCCCTCCATTGTTCCCAAACTACTATAATTCTCTAGGTGACATCCCCCTTAATGTCTCTCCCTTGTTATGCATTACTGAATTGAAACACTAAAAGTGGTCACATCGTGTTATCTCTTGGTTTCCAATCCTAAGTGTATCATGATTTATTATTACTAAATTTATATGTAATACACTCTATGTTAGTTCCACTTATTTTAAAACCTCTTGTTTCTAGGCCATTTGTTCATACACTTAATTTTGCATTTAATCCTTCATTAGTTTTATCAATTAAAATAATGTCATCTACAAATAACATGCACGATGAAACTTCTTCTTGAATATGTATAGTTAATTCATCTATGATCGGTGAAAATAGATAAAGACTAAGTGTTGAACCTTGGTGAAGACCCATTATAATTATAAAATCTAAAAGTCTTTCTTACTGTTCTAACATTGGTTGTTGCTCCCTCATACGTATTAATTAAGTAGGTTTATATACCTATTTTGAACCCCTTTCTTTTCTAAGACATCATATTATTTCTCTAGGAACTCTATCATAAGCCTTTTTTCTAAATCAATGAACACCATATGAAGATCAATGTTCTTCTCTTTGAACTTTTCTATCAATTGTCTTTAAAGAAATATAGCTTCCATGGTTAATCTCCTAGGCAAAAGTCAAATTGGTTCTCTGATACATTTGTTTCAAGTCATAATCTTTGTTCAATTATTCTCTCTTCATAGTGTGACTCATGAGTTTAATCCATTAATAATTATTATAACTTTGTATATCACCTTTGTTTTTAAATATAGGCACCATACCACTATTTCTCTAATTATCAAACATCCACTTTTGTTTTACTATTTTATTAAATAGCTTAATTAGTCATAGCAAGTATGCCTCACCCATACCTTTCTACACAAGTAGGAAATTCTTGAATTTGTTTTCTTCTCTCAACAAATCTGATTACATTAAAATCCCCTCCAATACACCATGGTCCTTCCCACAAACTTTGTATATCTTCTAGCTCTTCCTACATTTCATTTCTCTTTGTATCCATTAGGCCCATAAATGTTTGTTAAAACCCATTCAAATCTATCATTCTCTTGTCTAAACTTGATTGACACCATGAGTTTCCCCACTAATTCCTCAACTCCTTGCATTACATCATTCTTCCATAGAACCACTAATCCTCCAGATGATCCCCAAGATGGAGACATTGCCCAACTTATACCCCTAGCCCTCCAAATACTTCTTGCCCATCTCTCATCGAATGTGGTAGTTTGGATTCTTGAATCATAACAAGATCCAACTTTTCTTTATTAAGCAAGTTCTTTATCATTGCTCTCTTTCTTACACTCTATAACCCTCTGACATTGCAACTAATGAACTTCATTTTTAACCAATCAGCTTTACATACCCCTCAAACTCACCCAGTCTATTTACCTCCCCTTTTTCTACCTTTTCTCTTACCGAATTCCTTATCACCTTCCACATCTAATTTCAACCTCTCTAACTCACTCAGTTTCTTTCTCCTCACCTTCCTTTTTGTTTTCTTGGTTATTATGTAGGTTCTCACATCAATAGGAACCTTTACTTTACACCCAAGTTTTTCCGCAAACTCTACGACCAAATCCTCCTTTTTTTTTTATAATTGAAAAGTTACTTCATTAGAAATATGTAAGCAAAGTTAACAGCACCTCAAAGAGAGGTATGAGGTGTGACCTCTCTTGAAAGTAAAAAAAAAGTGTAAGAAACCATAGTACACCATAATCAAATCGTCCTCCTTGAGCTAGAGCTGTACTCAGACTTTCCTGTGGCTGACTTATTAAGAAATTGGAAAGACATAGCTACCTCTGCTTTGTGTAAGGAGACTCTTAGTCCCTCATAGTCCCCTCCATCTGGATTTATAAAACTGAATTTTGATGGCAGTAGTTTGAGGAATCCAGGGCTTCTGGGATTGGGGGAGTATTTGGGAATGAGGAAGGGGTTGTTATTGCTTTCTTCTCAGGCCCATTGGGGAAGGAGATTCTCTTAGGGCTGAGATCCTTGCAGTTCTAGAAGGAATTCAAAGAGCAAGGGAACTAAATATAAGACATTTGGTCCTGGAACGTGACTCGAAGGTCATGATTAGCTGGCTGAAGGAAGAGGACAATGGCTTGTGGAATTATAACAATGAAAAGAAAAAATTCAGTTGGCTGGGTAGGGACTTTAAGATACAATATAACTGGGTGAAGAGGACTGCTAACTCATTTGCAGATGGGCTGGCCAAGCAGGGGGTGAATAGGGAGGCAATCTTTTGGGCTAATTTTTAACTTTCTGTCATTGTATTCTATTGATGGGGATTTAAGACATTTTACCTTCCCCTACTGTATCTAAAGCTTCATAAATCTTCACATCATTAATAAAGTTTTTTGTTACGGATAAAAAATAGCACAATATTAATATGAAAAAAACCATATAATGTTTCTGATTATTCCTAAACTCCAACTTCTAGGTTGTGTTTTTATTTTAAAATTATCCCATTAGCAGAAGCACGGAACGCTTTTCTCTTGACTATTTACACTGTTGTGTATCATTCGTCTAGCAAAAAGAATGAAAGAAATAAATGGTATATCATGTACCAGAGTACTGGAGGGCAGAATTTAGGCACGATCTGAGCAGTTTTTTATGAAGTATCTTGCCCATAAGAAATATCATTTTTCCCAATCTCTCCAGGGAACATTAGAACTTGGTGTCTCCTTCTAAAACCATTCCATGCAAACCACAATCAAGAGTTTAATCACATAGAGTTCTGCCATGGATTGTTGTCTGGTTATTATCTGCTCTACTCTGATGGGTGCATCAAGGTGCCACATTTTTACTGCATTTCTCACATGATTTTTGCTCCTGTCTCTCACATCTCCATTCAGCTGCAAATAGAAGGTTTGTCAAGAACTTTATTGGTACCCTTCTGAAGCACAAAATGAGTCTAACCAATGCCTAATCAAGAAGATTTTTCTGCTGAACATGTTAGAATCAAAAGAAATTACTATAACTTACCTTTCATGTGGATCAAAACTGATATGATGATTCTCCTCTAAAGACGACCACTGTTCCTTGGTCTGCCATTTGCTCCTGTAGATGGCCCTTGTGTGTGTGTCCAATAATTGATCAGTTTCAGCTGTTCTTCCAACCAATTCTCAGCTAGCAATATGATGGGATCATGGGATTATAACAGTTCACAAAATTTATTTTGAGAACACTAGTTGGGTTGGTGACTGTATAAATGGATATATAACAGGGTCATGGAGTTTGATCCCATGAAGAACTCTATGCCCTAACACAACTCTGCCACAATAAGGTGCCTGTTGAGCTCAATTATTCCACGAGAACAACGATTCCAATTGAGATTTAAATCAGCACCCTTATCGCTCATTAAAAAACAAGGCAACATGACCAATTCAAGCAATACCCTTCACCAATAATCATTGCAAGAACAGACTCCATTCCTGAAATGGTGGAAGCGACTTGCATCTCTAACAACAATCTTGCGGTCCACAATCTTACTAACCATCTTTATAAACACATGACAGTCTCCACACACCCTTAGGTTCTTAATCACCACTAGCTCCGTTCCAGGTTGAGTGTTTAGAAGCCCAAATGCAATTGCCAGTTTCTCACTGTGAACCCCAGTCCCTGCCAAAACTTCCTCAACTCTTCTCTCCTTGTTTTTAGACCCAACACTATCCTTCACTAAATCCTCTAACCCATCCAACATGCTGTATATCTCCTTGGCCTGAGGATGATCTCTACCCCCAGCTAAGAATAGGTGAACCTTCTTCTTGAGTTCCATGTAGCTACATCCTGGTCCCTTCCTAAGGTTCCGCATCCTCATCATTATTCGGACCTTTGCCACCCCCTCCAAATTCTCTACCTCAGAGTAAATGTTAGATAACAGTACGTAGTATCCAACATTCGTTGGTTCAAGCTCTACGACCCTCTCAAAAGCTAACTCCGCCAGCTCAACATTTCTATGGATCTTACATGCACCTAAGAGGGCACCCCACACCGCACCGTCAGGTTTTACTGGCATCGAGTAAATGAGCTCTCTTGCTTCTTCAAGCTGGCCAGCCCGTCCTAGAAGATCCACCACACATGCATAATGTTCTGGGCCTGGATTGATCCCATAAATCCTCTTCATTTCCGAAAAGTACTCCAAACCCTTGTCCGTTAACCCTGCATGGCTGCACGCAGACAGGACACTCACAAATGCTGCACCGTCAGGTTGAATTCCAACTCCACACATCTCGTTGAAAAGATGTACAGCAGTCTCTCCCTGCCCATGCATTCCGTACCCAGCAAGGATTGCAGTCCATGAGACGAGGGTCTTCTCAGGCATCTCGTCAAATAGCATGCGCGCTCGAGCTAAATTTCCACAACGGGCGTACATGTTTATAAGGGCATTCGTTAGGAAAGGATTGAAATCAAACCCTCTGCTTAAAATCCGCCACTCAATGTCGCGGCCTACACTCTGGGCTCCAAGATGAGCACAAGAGGAGAGAACACTAACAAATGTAACAGGGTCAGGATCCATTCCAACCGATTCCATCTTGTGATAAAGATCCAAAACATGGGAAGCGAGACCATTCTGAGCGTACCCAGAGATCATCGCATTCCACGTGATCAAACCCTTCTCAGGCATTGCGTCAAAGAGCTTTCTTGCAACATCAACCGAACCACATCTGACATACATGGTTAGTAGACAATTCCCGACGGATGGGTCCGCGTCCACGCCGCATTTAACATTGCAGGCGTGGAGCGACATGCCAAAGTCAAGGTCCAGAGGGACGGTGCACACAGGGATCAACCCAAGCATCGTGATGGCATTGAACATAACACCAGCTCTCCGCATGGCGCGAAAAAGCAATAAAGCAGCCGAAAATTGAGAATTAAGAGAGTAGCCAGCTATGAGTGCGTTGTAACAAACAGTGAGCCTTCTTGATTGGGGACTTTGTTGGAACAAGCGGCGAGCATTCTCAACAAGAGAGCATTTGCAGTACATAGAGATCAATGAGGTCTGAACAAATGGTTCGGGGTCGCACCCTGTCTTGACAACATGGCAGTGAAGCTGTGCGCCGGAGAGAGGGAGAGACAGAGCTGCACATGCCTTCAAAGCGAATGGGAAGGAGAAAGCATTGGGACTGTCTCCGGAGCGGAGCATTTGGCGGTAAAGCTGGAGACCCTCCTTGAAGAGGCCCTCTTTGGCCAGCTCTCTCAACCGAGTGTTCCATGAGCTGCCGCCGCTCATGCCGCACATCTACTTCTTGCCGGTTCAAGTATCCATTTATTCCGACTGTGACAACTGGCAATGATGATGATGGCCAATGGCAGAAAAACATGAGACTCGAATTCCGGTCTCGATTTCGCAGAAAAGCATGAAGTTCGAATAACGGGCTCGGGCAACGAACATCAGCTCGAATTCAATAGTTACACTTCCAGACAATTTATCAACTCTACCCCTAACCGTACAAATACAAATACAAATATGTACTCCTTCCCTTAAGGTTGGCATGGAATTGCGTGTGATGTAACTTACCGTATTATATTCTCAAATCAATATATATTTGTACGATGCAAATTAGGGGTGGTCCGGGTGGATTCAAGTCGAACCAAACTCTCGACTCACCAAGAAAGTATGAGGCTCCAATTAGAGACTTGAGGTCGAGTTGGGTTCAAGTACCATAAGTCAAGTGTTTTATAAAAATAAAAATTATATATAAAAAATATTTTTATTTAAATATGTATGTATGTACGTAGAAGTTCAATTAGGCTCATGAGCCTTACGAGCTGAGTTTTATTAGGTTTGAACTCGGTTTAAACCAAGTCAAGCCGAGCTTTTCACGAGCCGAGCTTAAATAGTTTATGAAAAGCTTGGCTCATAGCCACCCCTAGTGCAAATGATGAGTCCAGATCTACTCCTCCCACTGGCCTCATAGCATATATGATATACCAACCGCACACCAGGAACATCTCCGGCCCGCAATTATATGTTATTACTTATGGGAGATGTTCTCAATACATGGTGGGATGTGGTTGTGAGGTCAATTTGAGGAGCAGATCTCAATTCAGAAATGATGACTCCTCTGGTTCAGTTGAATGCAATATGGGACCGGGTGTTGAAATTGTTTTAAACTCTTTTGGTATGGTGCATAACAACACAAACACCGGTTCTGCACAATAATCATTATGACGAGGATAATTACTAGGAGGATGACGAGAATTGAGATCTGCTCCTCATAGAGCACACCTTACACCGCCAATCTCACAGATACATCCCACCATGCATTGGAAACATCTCTTGTGAATAATAATACAAAAGTACGGAAGATGTTCCCTATACAAGGAGAAAATCCAGACTTCGAGGATGATCCCTAAGCAAGCCCATTGTTGCATCTCTCCCATCCTTGACGAACAAAGTGGCTCTCAATGTCATCTAGTTGCTCTCCCTAGCTTTGCACTAATACCGCTATGTCCATCATTGTTGCATCTCTCTTGTATCTTTGATACTATTTTCATCATTGTTGCCCTCCCTTGCTTCTGTATCACCTTGTGAAACAGCCATGAAGTATCTGTGCTCCACGGTTTCCTTGTATTCCTTGACAATCTTCTCTCTCAATGTATTGAAGCTCTCCATTTGGTCTTTCTACTTCATCCTTATGCTACTAATGGTAGACAATGTGTATCTGATCGAGGGAGCTGCCCAAGGGATGCTTCCGCTTCTTTGAGCTCAGTTTTGGTCTCAAGCAACTATACTCTGACATGTCAGTGGTGGTGATGTACAGATGGAAACCGTGGGAGTCAACCTGGATAAGTTCTTTGAAAATGTAGAAGGGGAGTACTATTAATTTTCCATGGAGAAGAGAGGAAAACTTTGCATCAATAAGATTCATGTAAACTTTCCATTGATTTTCGATGTAAAAGTTTTGCATCGATTGTTGAAGTTTATTTGCATCTCTACCAAACGTCTACAAAATCGAATTGGAGCGCAATATAGCATTGATATGGGATTTGCATCACTGCCAAACACAACCTTATGAAGAGCTTAACCTTTATGAAACTCCAACATCTCTTCAAATGATAACAACAGAGTGAAAATCATTGTTAGTGTTCTCATGTTGTTAAGATACTCTACGATTAGGAACTGATGGAGGAAGATTTGACCCGACCCCTTGGCCATGCGACACGTGGAAGCAATCGAGGGTGACCTGGCAGAAACGCCAGCTCGGCACGACAACAGGCTCACAACCCGAGCTCTGAACTAAAGAGCCGAGCTCCCTCGAAGGAACCTGCAACCCGAGCTCCGAACTAAAGAGTCCCGAGCTCTCCCTTCGAGGTCTTGAGCCTTACAAGCACCAAAGGCAAAAACCGAACTGCCCGCCCAGGGACAGTTCGGGTCATACTTCTATCCGAACTCAAGACTTCACCTCGCGCACCACTTCGTCTCCAAGTCGCCTGACTGGACAGACCGAACCTAACGCCCAGGAAACCGTACCCGGAGGCGGTGCACCTGACTGATTAGGGGACCGACACATGACAGCCACCATCCAACGGCCACCTACCACCGCCATCCCAGACGGACAGAGGCGGCCATGGCAACTGACAGTGGAGGTTATGACACCCGAACTGACAACTGGCAGTGGAGGTTATGACACCCGAACTGGCAACTGACAGAGGAAGTGACCCGATCTGGCAGAGGGAGTGACCCGATCTGGCAGAGGTAATGATGCCCGAACTGGCAGAGACATGGAAGTGAATGTACAGGGTAATTATAAAAGGCCCCCATCCCACAAAGAAGAGGGTATGTGATTCTTGCATTTTCTGATCTTAGAATTCCTCATTTCCCTTGCCTTATGAAGAACACTAACTTAAGCTTCGAAGTGTTCCAACCGGGTTCCTCCCCGAAAGCCTCCATTTCCTTCCTTGTTTTAGGCACCTCCGATCTCGTTAGAAGCGAGGTAACCGGCAGCTAGGACAGACCGGATTGCGCATCATCATTTGGCGCCATCTGTGGGAATGTTTCAAAAAGCCTCCCCTAACCTCTAATTCTCTCCCTCTCTCTCAAAGAAACCCTAGCTTCCATGGCTTCTCCTAGCAACAGCAGGCACAACATCGACTGAATGCTGTAGGGGAACACCCCCAGCCCGCCACTGTGTGCATAGGACAGTTCACCGTTCCCCTATCGACGGACGGAATCCCTAGCCTCAACGCACCAAACATGGTGGCACCGGTGAATATTCCCCTTCCTCTCCCTATCGAGACAACCTTTGCCGAACCAATTGCTGTCCCCCTAGCGACTAGCCAAAGCTAGTTTGATAACTTGATGCAGTGCATGCGGGCAATGCAAGCCCAAATGCAGCAGTTCCAACAGCATCAGCTCCATCAGCATCAAGTACTGCACCACATCTCTCAGTATCACTATCAACAGCAGTTCCCCCAACTGCCTCTGAACCAACCACAGCTTCCACCTCGACACCCCGCTCCGAAGTCGGCCAAGCCCTCCCCTCAGGGCAGATGCCTTCACCGAGGAGAAGTCTTCCAACTTCAGAACCCCTTCAAGAGCCAGGCCTCATCCCTGGGCAGGAGGGAAAGACTAGTCACCCCCGCCTCGCACCTCACCGGCGGATCGGGAACCTCGCCAGCCAAGTCAACACCTCGTCACTCCAAGTTTGATCTTCTGCTCAAGTCAGCAAATTACCAACAGTCCAGGCCCATCGAGCTCGACACTACCGAAGCCAGCAACGCCAATACCAGGCCCTCTAAGCAGCAACGAAGACGCCGAAATTCCACCCGCATCCTGCCCGAGCTCTGAGCTAAAGAAGAGACAAGATCAGACGAGGTAAAAGCTGCCCCTATTCTCTTAGTCCCTTCCCCCCTCTCATCAGAACTCCTTGCAGTCCCCATGCCCAGAGATTTCAAACTCCCC